CCCCAAAACCCCAAAACCCCAAAACCCCAAAACCCCGAGGGTAGGAAGAGGGATTGAATATTTTCTGATGAAAAGTTATTTTATTATTGGCATTAGAATCAAATTCACTTTTTCTTTGTTATAGATTCGTCTACCTCTTTATCGGGGTCTGGTATTCACACTCTTTTGTATAACATTCTTGCACTTCTTACCTTAAAGTCTCATTGAAATAATATGTTTTCTAACTTGTATTTTTTCCTTATGAATTCAATCTCTTCTTGTGAACTTTCTCATTTCAATGCTATCACCAAAAGAGAATTACTGAGAGAAGAATCTCTTATCATCTTAAGGATTGATTCTAATTGAGAGGGGCTTCTTCTTTTGAATTTATCCATTACTTTAGAAAGCGTACTTACTTCTATTTGCTTTTTCTCTTGGTAAGCTATATCTTTTCCGTTCATATCTTTTCATTCCTGAAATCACAATGATTCAAGGTAGTACTTTTTCGCCAGTTTATGCTTCATAGTAATAGACTCAATCCAGCACTTTTCAAAGACAGCCTTTTTGGCAGTAGTCAGGTTGAGAAAGATATTCACTGTTTGCTTCTGTGACAGCTGTAAGCTTTTCAGAATCATCCTCTGAGTAACTGTGGGTAGGATTCTGATCACTTCATTCATGTGTTGTCTCTTGAGTGTAGACTTTGAGGGGTCATAGGACTCAATTCTGAGAGTTCTGTTTTTGTCAGAATGGGAGTTCCGCAGGATCTTGAGAGAGTTGAGTTGATAATGGTTTTGGATGACTACAAAAAGACCAATCCCGTAATTACCAGAGAACCTAAGCCTAAGCCATCTTTTCATTATCACATTCTCCTCTTTCTATAAATCAGGCTGAGACGATTTTATGAATGCTGGATACAATCACAGAAATCTGAAAGCTCAATGTTCAAGATTTAGGGAGTATCTCAAAGTTGCGTGATTCATTTTAAACGAAAAAATAAATTTTCTTTCTAAAATATGGTAGAGACCAGCTAATATCAATAATTAGAAAATTCTCAAACATTTTGCAGGAGTTAAGACTTCTTTAGCTTAAAGTAAGTAAAATTATTAACGATCTTCTCTTTCAAATCAAAATATTTAATAAGCAGTTGCCCGTCTATTAGAGGACCTAAATCCTTCTTATTGTAAAAATGGACATACATAATCTTCTTCTTCAATCCTTCCCCATAAGAAAGGAAATCTGTGATGAGCCTTGTGGATGACTTCAGACTCTTGCTGGATCACTTGTTTCTCATTATTTAAGATCTCATGGAGACTTGAGTCCATCTGCATATTTTATTTAAAAATAAATCTGTTATTAGTCCAATTCTGATATTTTTATGAGGGGTTTTGGGGTTTTGGGGTTTTGGGG